CATTCCTATACCACTATCAGAGATTGTTAGTATTTTATTTGTAGGATCAGCCCATATTGTGATGTTTAAATCCGGATTTGCTTTTAAAGCATTAGAATCGGTAAGAGATAAAAATCTTATTTTATCAATTGCATCGGAAGCTATATATAGTATAGACAATTTTAATTATTTGTTTATGCAATCAATTATTAATTGTAAAATAACATTTACCATTAGAGATAAGTTCTCTAAGAAATATTTCACGTGTCTTGTACAACGAATTGATAATAAGTTTCATCAGTCGACTAACCTCGGTCTAAATATATGTAAATCCGGGAAATCCGAACGTTTAAGAACTTTTTTTTTTTATATATATATTCTTTTGAGCCAATAAAAAAACAAAATTACCTGGAATTCAAACTTTTCTTCAGTTTCTTTAAGTTTTTCTGTTTGTTCTTTTGTAAAACCAAAATTAGATTTTTTTCCATTCTTATCGTTATCTAGACCATCCGGTTTTTCACTTTGCGTAATGAAAGGTCTATCCTTGCTACTAATTTCTTCTGATGGTGAAGATTTGGCATCTTGAGCGGAGACTTCCTTTAATAAAGGGAAATCGATCAAACAGGCAATTAGACATGATAAAATTAATAGAAGCCAAAATTTGGACTTCATTTCTGTTTAAGGGATATTATATATATTATGCTAAATGAAAATGGTTATTAAAAGAGTAATAAAAATTTTATATCGAAGAAAAAAGCAAGATCCATTTATATTCGTTTTATTTGATAAAAAAAGAATCTTGTCAATGGATGATTGGTTATACAGAAAAAAACTCTTATATGTGGCACGATTTTATTGGATGATTCAGAAGACATTTTTGGAAAAAATAAAAGTTTTCGCACTTTTGTCAATCCAAATTTAGATTTTTTTTCTAGAATTTACTATAAGATTTGAAAAAGATCATTTTCACTTTTTGAGAATTTCTATAATTGGGGAAGAGCTAAAGCCATGTATTACACGGCTTTAGCCCATCAAATATTCAGAAAGAATGGTAAAACTTTGAGTAGTAATCCTGGCCGATCAAATTTTATCAGTTACTGTGATTTCTAACGGTAAAATTCGGTTCTCATCTAAAATGCAAAAGTTTACTCGTCTGCTTTTGTCAAAAATACGTATTCAGTAGAAACGATATTCTACGTACGTAATTGCAATTGCAGATGTAATATCAAGGAATCGAACTATATTTGTAGGGATTCAAGAATTTATTGTTAACTATAATACATGCCGGACAGAACTAAGATAATTGAAGCGAATTAGTCCTAATTTCATTACAGTACCTATTGACCCCCTGCCATATTATTTGGGACTTCATTTAGTCGGATGGCTAGTATAAGGGCTCGAGATGTTTGTTTAGTGAAGCCTTCTGATGGTTATTATTATGCCCTGATTTTGGTTATAAATTGTTTTATATGACGCGTATATTCAATTAACGATGTTTTAACGTTAATGCTTTATTATAAATTTTAAACATTTTTATATTTAAAACATAAAATAAATAAAAAACGATACTGATAAATATACCGGTAATCGTTTTTTTTTTCTAAACGTTTGCTCAATAACTATCAAATAAATTTTCGAGGT